CGGAGGGGTGGGGGCAGGGCCAGCAGGGCGGGGCAGGGGGGCCAATATGGCCAAATTTTGCAAATTCAGCCTATGCAACTGTTACAGAGCAGAAAAGAGTTCGTCCACCGGGCGCAGGCAGAGCCAAACACTAGACACCAACAACTGCAGTGGAGAGATGTTGGCTGTTTTATTGATGGCGCCACCCAGGAGAGCGGGAGGCTAGTGCTCAAAAGCCCGAATGCCCGGATGGTATGTAGGTTACAGATGACATGGGGCAGTCACAAGACACTGTGAGTTAGGGGTTCAGGGTCATGCTGGGAGCTGATTGTCCGGGGATGAGATAAAGGTAAAGAATCATCTCTTTGGGTCTGTTCCGGGGTCCCTCTGTCCAGTCCCATGGGAAGGGAGCCGGGGGGTCATTCCACCTTACGGCTCAGGAGCTGAAACCTAACTTAGGTCAAGATGTTACCCTTAGCCTGCCAGAAGTCCAGTCCTGTTGACTGTTTGTCAGGTCCAGGCCGCTGTCTTCTGCCTCGGGGGTTGCTGATTATCTTGGGGTGGCTAGATCTCCAGGGGTGGGGAAGGGGGGAAGGAGAGGGAGATGATTTCTAGAGGTAGGATTTGAAACTAAATGTAATCCAAGTCCTCAGGACCCTGGGATTCGCGGCTAGTGTCAGCACTGAGTGGGAAGACTTAGACATCATGAAGGTGACTAAGGGAAGAGAGACGTGCCTTTAGTGGGACGTCTGCCACGAGCCAGGCACTACATATGTTACCCCATTTGATGTGCACGCCCTTCCTAGGGGGCGGGAGGCAACTGCTCCTCTTGCCCTCTCTGATAAGGCGATAAGGAAACTGAGGCCCAGGGAGGTTATGCCTTGGTCAAGCCATACAGAACTGGGGCCAGATCCTCTCTGTCTGGATTTAAAACCCTTACGATTTACTATGCTGCCTCATTCCCCGGCGGGTGAGTGCCCGGCCTGCCCTTTCCAGGCCTCCTGTGCCACATGGAAGCATCACCAGGCCCTCCTCCTGGGGCCTCGGTCCGACCGGCAGGAGCCCTGCCTGCAGCCAGCGCCGAGGGAGGAGGGGAGTCCCAGCCTGGAGCCATCCATCTGCTGGCTGGTGACACGACACCGGGGCCCCGGCGGAATAGCAAGCTTGTTCGCTCTTGTCTGGCTGTTAGTGGTGATGTATGAGTAAGCAAAGAAGACGGCTTCATTTTCATAAGTTAACTTGCGCCTGGAGTAAGGAACACGGGGAACCGCGCACTTCATCATAACCGCGGGCCAGCGCGGGAAACAGTGACAGGGCCGTTTCTGTCCGTCACGGTGCTTTATTGTAATGACTCCCGAGAAGACGAGCCGGTGCAGATGCTGCGATGCTGAGGGGCAGCTCACAGGAGCCCGGGCCAGCTCCCCGAGAGGAGCCCCTGGGATGCTGCCGTGGTGGGATGTCAGGCCCAGGGCGCTGTGCGTCGTCCGGGCTGAGGGCTTAGACATCGGCCTCTGCAGACCAGGGCGCGGGTGCCACGTGGCGAATGAGCTGGGGTGGGGCAGAGCTGTAGAGAGACCCGTCTCCTCTGCGCTGGAACGGGACCGAGGGGCGCTCTGCCTAGACGGGCGTTGTGGGACAGCGCCGTTATCAGAAAATGTGGGGGGAAGCTTGGCAGCTGGGAAGCCTGTGCGGAAGGGGAAGGGCAGGGGGGGAAGGTGGCATATGACTGCGGCCGAGATGCCAGGCGGGCACCACCCACCTTCCCGCGCAGAGTCAGAGTTCTCCGCCCTCCCCGCCTCTGCCCCATCGGTGTTTCTGCCACTGCAAGTACCACTCTGCTCCATCATTGTTTATCTGTCTCCCCTGCCAGCCGCCTGCAGAGCAAGGACTACATTTCGTTTGTCTTGGGCTCCTTAGTATTTTACGTGGTATCTGACGCACCGCGAACTCTCAGCCTGTGATCCCCTGAACCGAAGTCGAGGCAGAGTCGGGATCGTGTGAGCTAAGGAAGGGAGGAGACGACTGATACCGCCCCTCTGAACCCCGCAGGTGGGGCCGATAGAGGCCGGGAATTCCTGCTGTAATAAGAGTAAACGCCTCTCATTTGACCACTTCTAGGCATTGTCATTGGTGACGTTTGTGAATTCTGAGCACATGGCAGAAAAAAACGAAACGGTAGCATCCACCGGGGGTCACCAGTAATTATGCACCAGCTCCCCCAAGCACCCCACATCCCCTTTGTGTCACACCCTCTGTGTAAGGTCATTAACTGGGCTCTCTGATGAGGCCACAGCTTCGGGACGGGCGCATGGCTCTCCCAGCTGAGGGCACCGTGCCCTGCGGACCTGATTGTCTTGCACGAACATCCCGAGCCTGTTGCGTGCGGAACTGATGGGCCCTCGCCTTCCTGGATTGGCGCTCTGTTTTTCTGAGGGCTTCTCCAAGTTTTGAATGTGATCATATAGAATGACCGAGTGGGGGGTAGTATTTTCCCCATGCCTCTAATTTATGTATTTGTGCTGGGGTGTTGATTTAGATAGGAGCTCGATAAATTGATCAAATAAATTACAGCAAACCCACACAGCATCATTTCGGCGAGCTGTCATCCCTCCGAGGAGGCTCTACATCACCCAGCACGGTGTTCGGAGAACCGCTGTGCTCTTAACAGGCTGCTGGCCTTTCATGCGGTCGGGAAGGTCTTTATTTCTCAAATCGGCCAACAGTATAATGGTGGTAACTCCAGAAGGCAGCCGTTAGCTGTGGAGGACAGTAACCATTAGTCGTGTAGCCTTTAGCATGTTTTTTAGACTTTTTGAGACTCAGTTTCTCTTAGTATAAGACGTGGATTTATCTTTTCTATCATAAACCTTTGTCATAAAGGTGAGCAGTGACGCACCGAGACAGCAGACAGAATCTGGGTGTTAGACAAATAGAGAATTATATGCCGGCTCCATCACTAGTTGTACAAATCTCAGTCCTACGCGAGCCTCAGTTTCCCAGTCAGTAAAATGGTATTGATACTAATTCCAAGAATACCTTGCCCGGCTGGGCGTGGCTCAGCGGTTGAGCCTCCACCTGGGATCCAAGGCAGTCAGGGTTTGATTCCCGGTCGGGGCACATGCCCGGGCTGCGGGCTCGATCCCCAGTCGGGGGCGTGCAGGAGGCAGCCGATCAACGACTGTCTCATCATTGATGTTTCTCTCTCTCTCTCTCCCTCTCCCTTCCTCTCTCTGAAATCAATAAAGATATATTTTTTAAAAAAAGAGTACCTTGGCATGATAGGGCTTTCTAATGGAAGGCAGTGGGCTCTGATGCCTGAATTACCCTACTTCAAAGGCCCAGGGATTTGCTCTGGGAACAGAGAAGCAGATGTTCCTCCACAAAGCACTCCTGGGTTGATGTGATGTGGACAAGATGCTTGCGGACCTGAGAGTAAAATCACTGTGAGAAGGTGGCCACGCGGCGGCTGTCCTCCGTGGGTTCCCATCTCATTAAACAAGGGTCACTTCTTCCTCTGATGTGAGACAGTTATCTCGGCTCGTGCCCCAAAAGCCAGGAAGTTAGTATATAATGGGAAATTTTAGGACCGGAACACTCGAACAGTAGTGTGTCAATAAATATATGTTGCACGAGGTAAGGAATGAATGGATGGGTGGATGGATGGATGAATGGTTGGTTGGTTTGGGATTCTGGCCATATTGCAGATTAGTTAAGTGGCCTTGGGCCACTTAACTAATTACTCTGGGCGGCCTCCATTTTTTCCCATTTGCTTTCTCTGTCCCTCACAGGTCAGCAGGTCCTGGGCTTGGTGGAGAACCAGAGTGACTGGTACCTTGGGAACCTGTGGAAGAATCACCGCCCTTGGCCTGCCCTCGGAAGGGGCTACAATACAGGTAAGTCGTGAGGGGCAGAGGGGCGGGGTTACAAAGGGCGATGGGAGGCCTGGTGCCCCCTCTCTAGGGGGCGGGGGGAAGAGGTGAGCCACAGCACCGGTGAAGGCCACCTGGTTGCCGGGGAACCTTCCAGCTCTTCCTCAGCGCTGCTGCTACAGGCAGAGTAGCTGTGGGGCCTTGGCAGTCTGCGGGGCTCTTTCCACAAAGCCTCTGTCCTGGCTGACCTTCAGATCCAATCCCAGATCTTTATGAGGGTGACCTGTGGCGCCCTGCCGCTGTTAATAGAGACTAGAGATCATTCTGCAGTGACCACCCCAGCATGTCAGTTTCTTAGCACAACACACACTCATTTTCCTCACTCCCACGCCATGTCCATTTTGGATCTGTCGGGACCTGTGCCCTCACCTGATGGTTACTAACTCACCCAGGGAGGAAAGTAGCAGATGACCTATTGACTCTGAAGGTCCCTGGTCAGAAGTGACACGCTCTCTGCTAATATGTCATTGACTAAAGCATGTCTCGTGGCCATGCCTACCTTCACGGGGTGTGGGCAGGAAACCTGGCCCTGTGCCTGGAGGAGAAAAGGCAGAAACATGTGGTAATTGGTACCTAGGCATCTCACAGCCATTAAATAAAATGTGTCTGAAGTCACATCCATTATTCCGCCTTGTTGCTAAGCCCAAACCTGCCTCTCCTCTTTTCTTTGTGTATCTGTTAATACCATTCCTTCTCTCGTTCATTCTTTGCTCGCCTACTGTCTGTCGAATGCTTACTGGGTACAGGCCCAGACCTGGGTGGGCCAGACACAGCCTGTGACCTCGTGAAGCGTTTAGTCAAGGAAACTGGAGCAGCCCCCTCTCCTTAGGTTCAGGTCTATCTTTGAAATACCTCTGGATCCTTCTGCCTCTTCCCCTCCATCGTCTTTCCCACCACCTTGGTTCCCTGTTCTCAGAGGATGCAGACCTGTGACCTGTGTCAGGACTAGAACTCGGAGCTCAGGGAGCAGTGGGTGGGGCAGGGCAGGAAGCTCTTCTGGGCTGGGGCCCGAGTCCTCAGGGTTTGGCGCCACCTGGAGGTGGTGGGTAAAACTGTCCCAGAGGCTGTCCTGCAGAGGCCAGAGTCCACTCTGAGAGCTGAGGGTCGGAGCCCAGAGAGGTCAGGTAGAGACTCAGGCCCCCGGAAGCCAAAGGAAAAGGAATGAGAATCGACCTTCCAGAGGTGAGAGTTCAGAGATGGGGTCAGAGTGGGGTCCAAGCTGCCCTAGGACAAGAAAAGAAAGGTCCAGAGTCAGTGCCCTAAGCAGCAGTTAGGGGGCGCTGTTTGAAGGCTGTCCTTTGACATGGGGGACGTTCCTTTGCTGACATTGGCCAGAGCAGCCCTGCATGCCTCGTTGTCTGTAATTTTTCCTATAACACCTACCAGGCCTTAGTTGTTGCCTGAAGAGGTTACAAGTGCAGAATTTTAACCACCTGCCCCTTCCCCTACCTCCTGGGGGCTCCCTGGCTGTGCTGGGCGTTAACCCTTGAGTTGCAGGATGGTGGGAAGTTCTGGGGGGGTCCCTGAGACTAAAGGGGCTCAAAGCAGCTGCTCTCTTTAGCCGGTTCGGAAGTATTTCATGTTTTTTCCGTGGGCCAGGCAGTGCCTGTGCGCAGCAGCTGGGTACCGGCCAGGCACGGTGCCAGGTGCTCGTGGGCGTTAATCTCATTCGATCCTCACTAACCCCAGGAGGCAGGTGCTGTTCTTATCTCCACTTTATATGCTGGAAACTAATGCTTAGAGAGTTGACTGATAAGTAAGGAGCCTGTGGTGCTAACTACGAACTTAAACTTCCCAGCGTGAACTTTAGTGGTTCCACAATCAAGAATACATTTTGAAAATGCAGAATTCTAGATGCTGCCCTTGAAGGGTCTCACCAGGGGGTTGGCCAGGAATCTGCCCTGAACGAAGCTCCAGGATGTTTCTGGAGCAGAAGGTCCAGGAGTCTGCTTGATAAAATATGGCACTCTGAACAAAAAAAACAAAAAAAAATAGAGAAAAAGCCCTGGCTGGTGTGGCTCAGTGGTTAGAGTGTCGGCCCATGTGCCAAAGGGTCACAGTTTTGATTCCGGTCGAGGGCTCATACCTGGGTTGCAGGTTGGATCCCGGGCCGTGTCAGAGAGCATGCGGGAGGCAACCAATCACTGTGTCTCTCTCCCATCCATGTTTCTCTCTTTCCCTCTTCCCCACTCCCAGCCCCCACTCTTTCCCTTCCACTCTCTCTAAAAATCAATGGAAAAAATGTCCTGGAGTGAGTATTAACAAACACACACACACAGACACACACACAGCACTGTGTCTCCCTCCCAGCAAGCCTTCTCGGGGCACTTTGCTTGGTGCGTTCGAGGCTGGACCTCTCAGGTGCCCACAGTGGGCACTCACGTTGGTCTTCGGTGCCTGGACTCCAGCCTTTTTGCGTCAGGCTCTGGTAAAGCCAGAGACACCCACGTGTGTCAGGTGGGAGAAGGGAGATCTCAGGGAAACCCTGGCGTGTATTTAGTGTGTCTTCCACAAGGTAAACTAATAGGAAATGTCACATGGAGATACACTGCAGGGTGTCGGGGACAGGCATCGGGGCCATGGTTACCTGTGTAAAACAAAAACCGTCCCTCATCAAGTGGGGTTTGCAGGGAGAAGAAAAATGTAGCACCCTGGGGGATTCATTATGACAAAAATGACCCGTCCCCTCCCGCCCCTCCCAGCTGGTCTCGTAATGTGAGGTCAGGAGACTGAGGAGTCTCTAAACCTACTCCAGCTCCTGCTGGAACGCCAGGCAGTGAGCTCCTTCCCTTCTGCCCCACGGAAGGGGGGGAGCAGATGGGAAAAGCCCCGTTAGAAAGGACGTGTCCATTCAGGTCAGCCAGGGACACCAGGTGATCGTTAGGAAAGGATTTGCACAGCATCGAAATGCACCGGCTTTCAGGGTGGGCGTTGGCTGTTTCAATACCAAGGGCCTGCTTCCCTCTCATCAGTGGATTCGTCACCCAGGCATTTCATTCTCATGGATGTTGAGCCCCGAATCCCAGCTCATCTCAAGCCTCCAAAAGAGGCTCCTCCAGCCAAGCCCCGGGAGAGCCTTCAGCTCGGTGCTGGGAAACTGAGGCAGATCAGGGTTAGAGCCGCAGTCCGGCCGTTTCTTGGCCAAGTTGCTTCACCTCCTTGGACCTTGGTTCTCTCCCTTGTGAAACAGGACAGTAAAAACACCTGGTGTGTGAGGATTGACGAGGTGATTTGTTTAGGGAGCTAGTCTGGTGTCTGGCAATCAGAAAACTTCTCAGGAAATCTTGGTCTGCGTCCTCTTGCGTTTTTCTGCCTCTTAGTCTACCCGGGACTGGAACCCACCTGTTTTGAAAATGGTGGTTACGTGACTGGCTACGGTTCTCCAAGGTCTCCCAGGAGTTTCAACACATTTTTTGTTTTAACCCAAATATGCAATCGCCTACCAGCTTTTCTCCTCCCTACTACCTGGAAAGGTTAGCTTCCATTATTATAGAATAAAACAATGATGCTTTTAGTTCACACATCAGCTTCCCGTGTTTTATTTTGAAAATCCCTCCAAAAAGCATGAGATGTTTGAGTTGGAAGACTTGCCTCAGGACCTGACTTTGTCGCTTTTCAGCTTCGTCCCCTCTGGAAAGCTTCTCAGGCTCTCTGAGCCTTGGGTTTGTCATCTGTAAACCGAGGATGATAACCCCACCCGGAGCCCACTGTGGTGTGCCGCTCCAGGGGCCAGCAAACTAACGTGCTTTAGGAAGTTGGTTGTAATTTTCATTTCTCCCCCTGACCACAGCCTGACTGAGTAACCATTTTCAAGTAATTTTGATTCAGCCACACTTACCGAGTTCAGCAGCATCCCCCAGGCACCGTCCCAGGCACTGTCTTTGTTAATTCCTAGAATTATCTGCTAATATAGTCATTCCCCTTCAAAGAGCCAGCCAGCTTCCCCCCTTCCTCTTTTTGTTTTTCTTTCCCCATCTGCTTGCACAAAGCCCTCGGGGCCCTGAAAGATTAGGGACAATCTGCCCACCACCTCCCACTCACCCCCTCCATTCTTATTAGAGGGGTTTACAACTTAATTCCACCCTCAGGAGCTGCTAAGCCACAGCAGCTGCAGTGACCGGGCCGGTGCCAGCACAGGGCCCTTGCCACGCCGTTCAGGTGGAATAAAGGGCAGCTGCCACACCCTTGCACGGAGGTGGGTTCATTTCCATTCATTCTGTCCCTTCAGCACGTCCTGTGTGCTGAAAGCTGCCATCCACCCAGCATTCAGCTGTCTGCAGGACTTTAAAAAAAAAATTAATAGAGGCTCATTAAGATTCAGCCACTTCAGTTCTTATGCTGATAGGGACCATCTTAAAAACACACCAGCAAAGAAGAGACGGGGAGCCCGGCCGGGCGTGGCTCAGCGGTTGAGCGTCGACCTAGGATCCAGGCGATCGGGGTTCGATTCCCGGCCAGGGCACATGCCCGGGCTGTGGGGTCGATCAATGACTCTCTCATCATTGCTGTTTCTATCTCTGTCTCTCCCTCTCCCTTCCTCTCTCTGAAATCAATAAAGATATATTTAAAAAAAAGAAGAGAAGGGGAAGGAGAGCTAGAAGGGGCCGGTGGCTGGGGAAGGGGGTGAGGGAAGGTAGAAGGTAAGTGGCAGGCTGACAGAGGTTTGTTTGCGTAGGATCCCGAAGTTTACTTGAGGGGACAGAGTGTCCTCCCTGAGATCAAGGGCATACTATTAACCAGAGAATGTGCTTTCCGAAACGATTTAAAAATAAAATGTGTCCTGTTCCTTTCAGTCCCCAAATTAGGCCAGAGACGGGCAGATGGAGACCTGGCTCTCTGGGGAGGGAGGGAGAATTTCTCTAGGAATCCTTACCCGCAGAACAACAGATTGGGGCGTTCAAGGACTGCCTCACCTCCGCGGCCCTGAAGAAGGGGAAGGGGAATGCCATGGCCGGATTCAAAGG